TAAAGAAAAGGAAGGAGAGAAGGACTAGAAAGAAAGAAAAACAAGTTAAAGTGAAATTTAAAAAAATAGAGATACAATGAAAAATAAAGATAGGAACAATTAAGGATGGAAGAATAAAGAAAAAGAAGAACAGAAGAAATAAAACTGAGATCTAAAATAAAATTTTAATGATATATTTAATAAAATTTTAAAAATAGAAAATTGAGCAATCAAAAATATATCCAGAATTCAGTACGCACACAACTAACCACCATAGACTATATATCTAAGACTAAATAGAACAGCGAAGAGAAAAAAGTTAAGAACAACAAAAAAAAGATTCTCCAGTTTGTTTGGGGACCCTTGTGTTTCCCAATGTCCACTATGCAGTCTCTTAATGGAGCCTTTGTTTCCATGCTGTGATCAGCTTTCTTTGTGGCCAAGGTCTGGGCAGCACCCCAGGGTGGGGTTGAGGTTCTTCATTTCACAGGTAGGAGACACCTTTGGGATTTGTCGGTTGAGATTCATACTGCTTATGTGTACGAGGTTGGGGCATAGTTGGATTCAGTGCCCTTCTTGGTATGGAGATATGGCTGTTACCTAGACTTTCCCACTTATAAGTCAAAGTGAACAGATGAATTCTCTAATCTGTTTGTTTGGATGGCCAGAATACCAAAAAAGTTCTGCCTTACAAATTTGGAGCCTTGCAGGTCTCCTCACAGCATACAGAAGGAGAGGGATTTGCTTTGTGAACTTAAAACAGGTAAGAGTGGCTGTTCTCTGCTGCATGGAATCTTTGCAGCTTGCTTGGATGTGGGTGTGTCTATGGTATATTTGGAATTAGTAGCCTTCCTTGGGGAGGGGTATTAGCTCCTGTAGAGAGGTGCTAGCTTCCTCACTAGTTAGCCCAGGCTAAAATCGCCCTCAACTTAAACAACCCGTCCAGGTTGGTGTTTTTGTTTGTTTTTGAAAGACCCCAGACTTCTGGGATACTTTCGTCTACAGGAGGGCGCCCCGAGACCAAGACTCCAAACCAGTAGATGCAACAAGCAAGAGGAGTTTATGTGACGTTTGCGAAAACGGACTCTCTGTCCCGAGCAGACAGGGAGCCCCGAGCATCGGTTACAGGCATTTTTAAAGGCAGAAACCCCAAGATTTACACATAACACAAGGCGTCTGGTAATTAGAGGTCACTATACACTCTAGCAATCATTTTTTACTACACGAGGAAGTTTATAACACTCTTTGTAATAAAACAATTGGCACAGATGCTCAAACGGAGATAGTCACTCTGGGAGATAAGGGTCAGGGAGTTTACAGAATTACAGGCTTGTGATTGATTAACATTTGGCCTAGTTTGCTGGACTTGCCAGGTGGTCCTTATCTTGGGTCCCTATCTTGGGTCCCTATCTTGGGTCCCCATCTTGGGTTCCATTTGGCCACTTAGGGAATTTTCAAAAAGGAACCAGAAAAACATACCTGTTTGTTCTTTATCTATGACCACAAACCTTGTCCCAGGGGACGGCTTCTGGGCTCCGAGAGACTTTTTACTCCATTACTTATTTCCAGAAGGGAGGGGGGTTAGTGCTAGGGCGAGCAAGTTTACAAAAGCAAAACCAGCAGTTAGCAATTGTAAAATGTAACTCTAATTTTTAATTTTTCAGTTTTGTTTTGTTTTTAGGCCAGTGAGATTTTAGAGGCTTTCCGGTGTGTATTTTGGGTTTTTTTGTTTGTTTGTTTTGTTTTGTTTTGTTTTGTCTCATGGGTCTTGAAGTCTGAGCCTGGGTACTGTTCCTGATCTTTTTAGCTCAAACTAGCACTCTACCCCTTGAGCCACAGCCCCACTTCTGGTTTTCTGGTGATTATTTGGCGTTAAGGGTTGCACGGACTTTCCTGCTTAGCTGGCTTTGAACAGCAATCCTCATATCTCAGCTTCCTAAGTAGCTAGGATTACAGGTAGGAGCCACTGCTGTCAGGCTGAAGCTTTCAGTTTGGTAATTCCATGGTGCTCAGCTGGCCTGAAGCCAGGCTGCAATATGTCTGGAATGCTAAGCTTGCCCTTGCTCACTTCTGAGGGGCAGGCCTGCCTCCCCCAGGGTGGGCCTTTTGTTTTCACCAAAAAGGAGTTGTGCAAGGGGATCACAGTCCTTTGCCCTTTTCAAAAATGCAACCATTTCTCTGGCAAATGGTTCAGGCCAGGTGGTCCACTGGCAGGCTAGTTGCCAATTTCAGAAATGGCATTATATGGGGCTAGGAGTAGTCGTTCCCTTCCAGATGCTGTTCTCTGGGAAGAGGCAGGTCTTGTGAGGGGTACTCATACTTTCCCTTGGTGTTTCAGCCTGTCCAGCATCTGATGAGTTTTCCCCGTATCCCAGTATGGCCAAGTGAACTAGGGCTCCCTTTCCAGGTCTTTAAGTTCCTGCTGGAGGTACGTGGGAGCCTTGAGGGCTCAGCCACCACCACTACTGCTGCCGTGACTGCTGTGGCTGCTGGCACCACTGCCACAACCACTACTGGTGGGTACTTAAGTCTGTCTGCTTAACCTTGCACTTCCTAATTTGTTTCATTGGTATGTATCTCTCAATCATTATATATTATTGGTATGACTGTCTAGATCTGAAAAGCTGGATGGGAGCTGAAAAGTCTGCTTCTTCGGAGAGCTTAATTAGTTCTCCCTTATGTATCCACTATTTTCTCCTAATTTCAACTGACTTTTTAAAAATCAATTTATTCAGTTGTAAAATCTTTGTAAAGATGACTACTAGGGAAAATAATGTACATCCATAAGTGTAAAAGTAGGGAGTTGCTGGTGGGCCATGTTTGTCATCTTAGAGGAGCTGAGACCTGAGGATCATGGTGGAAGTAGATGTGGCTCAAGTGGTTGGGGGCTAACCTTGAGAGAAAAAGCTAAGAACGAGCCCCCATTCCTTACTTCAATCCAAGAACTGGTACAAAACAATAAAATTAAAAGAACATTTGGTTTCTTTCTGAATATGCACTATTATGCCTCTGAATTATGTACATTCTAATGGTGAGTATGATGAGTTATATCACAAGAAGTGATTTTTTTTTGTTGTTTCTGGGGCTTGAACTCAGAACCTGGGCACTCTGAGCTTTTGCTCAAGGCTAGGTCTCAGCCACTTCAGCCACAGCTCCTCTTTTGGCTTTTTACAGGTTAATTGGAAGTGTCTCCCAGACAATTCCTGCACAGGCTGTCTTGAAGAGAAATTCTCAGTCCTCAGCCTCTAGGGTAGCTAGGATTACAGGCATGAGACAATGACATCTAGCTCAAAAAATGGTTTCTAACACAGTTTAATGTTTTCCTACAATGGTCCTCCACACTATGTCCCTCTCCTATTCTCCTTTCCTGTCCTCTCTCAATCCACATCACCCACTCCCTCCAGCTCTGCCGCTTGTGAGCACAGAAGTTGAACACAGGCCCCTGCAGCCTGAGTGCAGTGACTGTACATGCACAAATGCCTGTCTCCCTGGGATTCTCCTGGAATGGACTCCAGAAGAGATTGCTGGTGCTCTTCCTTTGCTGGGAATGGTTTAGTAAGTTTTGGGGTTTTTTTTGTTTGTTTGTTTCTTTTTGGTCAGTCGGGGGGCTTGAACTCAGGGTTTAGGCCCTGTCCCACAGCTTTTCAGATCAAGGCGAGCGCTCTACCACTTGAGCCACAGTGCCACTTCCTGGGAATGGCTTAGGAAAGCAGCACCTGCAAGAAAGAGCTGTGTAGGACATGGCCCTAAGGTTAGTGTTTAATCCACTTCATATGATTGATCTTGTCTACCCATAACCTATGGAATTTCAGGAGGGAACGCCAGATTGGAAGCCCCAGAGTGCTTGAAATCTCAGGAATTCAGTCTCAAGCCTCCACTGGAGGCCTTGACTTTTGCATTTAATGTGATCCCAGCCCATTGCTGAACATCACTGATCAAATGGAACAGTGATACTGGCCTTGTGTGTTTGATGTTAATTGAAGTAGCACATCTTCCTGCCCTGTCCATGGGGATTGAATAAATACATGGTCATAGATGGTGAGGCCATATTCTGGGTGGGCTTTATGCTTCTGTAATTCACTTGGCTAGGCCCCAGGATAGCCAATGTACCCAGGATAACAAGGAGCCCTTGGCTCTTCTGTGGTATATTCTCCCATATGTTGTATTTGCCTTTCCTCTTCTAATCTTAGGATAACTCATGACTGTTGGAGTTGTACTAATATTTTTGTTGTGTGACACTACTGAGGTAAAAGTTAGGGCCAATGTATTTTCACTTAGCTTTTTCATTCAGTACTACTGCATTACCACATGAGCATGAGCTCCCAGCTCCCCTCTCTGCTCTTTGCTGCTCAATTTGCATGACAGTATGTCTTATTTGTCTGCCATTGCTACCTTAGAATCTCCATCTTCATATCTCTGACTCTTGAGTAGCCAGGATTACAAGCAAGAGCCATGACACCCTAACTTCAAAGTGCTTGCTTACTTTTTCCCCTAGGTGATTATAAGACATAAAGGTCTACATTTCTGAGGTTCTTCTAGACTCTTTGTCTCCACTTGTTAACATTTTCTAAGTTGGATTTTTGAAACCAACCTCATAATTTATGTCTTCTAACACATTGTTGATCCCTGTTTCTACTAAGAGCTTATATAATCTCTTTTTCCTTCCTACTCGTGGACTGTGTTAGTTCTGCTGTCAAACCTTTCCCTTACCCTCCCCTGTGACCCACACAATTCAGTTGCTTCTTTCCAATGCAACCTTTGATTCCAACCTCTATCCAAAATCATGCAAAACTTTGGAAATATCAAAGAACACAAATGGCTTCTTCATTGATCTTACACTCAATTCCATTACATTTAATTGTTCAATTTTATTGAGTTTAAGTACATTAAAATAATTTTATTCTATCAAAACTATATATATCAATATATCATAAGTCTATATCAGTGTTTATGTCTTTGTATATAAATATACCTGGGAAAATATCTGGTATTCAATATGGATCCCACAATCGCAGCAGCTATTACATTACATAGCCGTAATACTGAGAAACTTCCATATCTCTTTGCCTCTGAGCAAAAAACTGCAGTTTCCCCAAAGCAGTGTATTGAGCAGCAATTTCACGCTCTTTCTGGGCCCGCCTTTTCATGGCTTCACGCTCTGGCCTCTGCTCCTTGGTGATGGGATTTGATACTACTGGCCCAGGAATATCAGGTTTCCTCCATGGAATTGGTTGGCGGCTGAAGTCTTGGAGTAGATACTGGCTTTGAGGTTTAGGTGGTGACTGGAACTTGGTCCCAGAAGTTGACACAGGCTTCTGCTGCAGAGAAGTGGAAGATGATGTTTTGTAAGGTTCAGGCCTAGCAACGGTTGATTGAGACACACTAGGCTGGGGAGTGGTGGTCAATCCCTGTTTGATTGTTTTGGCTGCAATTGGCTGTGATGTTTTGGTGGAATCTATGAAGCATGTGTTGGCAGTAGCTGGTTGAGATCGGCTGACTGCAGTAGGCTGAGCTGTGTTAGAACAAGGGAGAGCACGGTAAGGTGCAGTGGGTCTCCGGGAGGCCAGAGACTGTGGCCTGCGAGAAACAGGTCGAGCTTGAGGCTTCTCTGGGGCTAGAAAAGGCAAAGGAACCAGCTTGACCTTCCCAGGTGGAGGCAGCTCATCCTGGGTTGGTGATGGACACTGGCTTTCACTCCTATCCCTTTTCTTGACTTGAGTAATTTTAGGGCCTTTGCCCTCATGGGGAATACCCAGCCGGGATTTCACAGCTGGAGTGGACTTGGTTTCTTGTGTGCTGCTGGCATTTCTCAAGGCCTTGGGGGAAGGCAGCTCCTTTTTCTTCTCACTTTTCTTCCCTAGTGCATGGAAAACCTGCACTGACTCCCACATCTGCACGCCTAGGTTGGTTCGAGGCCTTTTGAAGGTCTCTTGGCTAAGCTCAGGGTGACTTCTCTTGTGCTTGGTCTTGGGAATGCTTGTCTTTTCTTCTTTTTTGATTTTGTTCCCTGGCTGCTTGGTTTCATCACATTTCTTGGGGTGGTTCTCCCTGATCCTTTTGGTCTCTTTCTGTGCATGGCTCTTAGTTTTGCTGACCTTGCTGGATGCAGCTTTTGGAGATTTGCTGTCAGAATGCTTGTCTGTGTTCACGGAAGCCTGGTCACTGGATGGGATGGTGCACACAGTCACCTCTTCCTCCAGCAGGAGCTCTGGGGGCTGGCATTCGACTTTGACCTCAGGAGTTCCATCCACACTTTCCAAGGCTTCATGCTTGTTCCTTTGGACTTGACCAGTGGAATGCTTAGTGACCATTGAGTTTTCCTGCAGGAGAATCTCATTGATGGTTTCTGTACTTTTGATGTCAGTTGTAGTAGAAACATTGGATTGTTTGAGATCTGTGAATGAATTGAAAATCTGGTTAAAATGAATGTCTTTGACCATCACAGCAATGTTTCTAAGCCCACCTATTGTTCCAGTTAATTCCATTTGTCCTCTAGACAAAAATTTTCCCAATTGACCCTATCATATGTAGACTACTCACTTGTCTCTAAGGTTACGGTTGACCTGCAGCTGCCAAATGTCAGGGATTTCTATAGAGAGTAATGGGGCATCCTGGCTTTCTATAGTTTTCTGGAAGGCAACCAGAGGCTTTCAAAGCTTCATTTAAATTTCATCCTAATGCTTCTTCTCTGTTTGTGTCTGGATTTGCTTGAGGCAAAGCCTAGGTACTAGGAGAATTTAATACTGGACCTCTTATTGAAATGTCTCCAAGGTCAGGTGACACATGTTTTTCTCAATTACTTCAGCATTTACCTTGAGACTCTCTGCAATTTCTGGCTGATAATGTTTCTGACTTGGAAGTTGCAATTCTAGGAAAGTTTCCATTCCCAGATTAGTTTCTATCAGCCCAAAGTAATCACTGCTGAAATCAGTTCCTGGTAAAGTGAGATGTTCCACCCAACAAATTAAATAGGCATTTTTGATCCCCAAAAAAGATGTCCCTAGGAGATGGTCTTATGATCCATGGACAAAACTCTGAATCAGTATATGGGTTATAGCTACTCTAATTAAAACTGGTGCTAATTAGAAGTAATTATTTCTTTTTTATTTATTTTTTTTTGGGGGGTCTGGTCGTGTGGCCTGAACTCTGGGCCTGGGCACTGTCCCTCAGCTCTTCAGCTCAAGGATAGTGCTCTACCACTTGAGCCACAGCGCCACTTCCAGCTTTTTCTGCTTATGTGGCGCTGAGGAATCGAACCCAGGGCCTCATGCATGCGAGGCAAGTGCTCTACCACTGAGCCACCTTGCCAGCCCCCTTTTTTTTTCCTTTATAAGTTTGTTGTAAGTGAAATAAAAATGAAAGCTATTAGCACTTGGATCAATCCCATGAGAAAAAGTAAATTTATGATTCCTCAAACTTTTATACAACTAACAATTTTTGTCACTCTCCTGTACATATAACGTCTTATATCTCATCATGGAGGGGGGGAGGAATGAGAAAGGAAAGATTTTGTGTGAGTTTGATTTGTGAGTTTCTGTGTGGTGGGGTTTAGGGGAGTATATGTAAGAGAAACAGTGAGTGAATATGTATGTATGAGCTCAATGGTTCTGGGGCTTGATTTCAGAGCCTTTTTGCTTTTTTCAATATTTTTCTTAGGGCTGGTACATTAACATTTCATATAGACCACTAGGGTTGACATTTGTTTGTGAATTGAAGATGCTGAAAAAGATCTCAGTCTCTTGATTAAATAGGCCACAGCATGAGGCACTGGTGCTCAGATCAAAAGTGGTCTTCTTGCCTGCAAAATACAGAGAATGTATGTCTTATGGTCTGTCTCCTTTGGGCAGCATCTCTGAGTATGTGAATGTGTGATTGTGTGTGTATCCCTGTTTGTGTACTGCACTCAGGGGCTGTGCACTCTACCTGAGGTTTTTTGGCTCAAGGGTAGCATTCTACTGTTTGAGGCACAGCTCAAGTGCTCCTCCATTTGAACCATACCCTTAGCCATCTGCTTTATGCCTGAAAATGGAGGTCACCTTTTGAGTGTGGTGGTTGAGGCTCAGGACTTAAACTACATTTGCGAATGCTCTACTATTCAGATGCAGATTGTCCCCTCCTTTTGTATGAAGCTAGTCCTATTCCTCTTTGCTGTCTGTGCTTACCTTGGAAATTGGTTTCTGTGTTAGGTTGAGCAGACACGGAGTAGTAGATTCCAGAAGTGGAGACTGGTGGTAAGACATCTGTAGGCTGGACCTCTTGGAGTGTCATCACTATTTCTGGCTGAGGAGCAAAGAACCCACTCCCTGTGTAGGTCACAGAGCCATATGATTGCAGGCAGGGACCAGGCTCTCCAAATAACAGAGGGCCCATAGTGTTTTGATTATAGTAGTAAACCTGGTTTCTTGGTTGGTAGGGAAGTAATATGCTACTCTCTTGATGTGGAATCTGAGATAATGTCCCCTGAACCAGGCTGCCAGACAGTGATGGATACAGAGGGACTATGGCATTGGCATCCACATATCGTGGTGTCACAGCCATTGAAGGGACTGTGCCCTGGTTGAGAGTCACAGTGAAGTCTCTAAGTTCAGATGACTTCTTTTTAGTGTGTCCTGTGTACTTCCTTTCAAAAGTACTGGGACAAGAGGAGACTGAAGTGCAGCTGTGGTTCTGGCCAGTAACACCTGTCAGCATGGGTGTGCTAGAATGTTGATAAAGATAGGCAGTACCCGTGAGTGGCTGGAAAGAGATGCCAGAGGTGGATGGCAGTGGCCATGTTGAAGTGAAGGCTGGAGTGGAGATTCTGGAGAGGTTGCAGACATTTCCTGCTAGAGAAGTGGCATCGCTCACCACAGGAACAGAGAGCTGTGGTGAGTTTGCAGTTCCAAATAGAGATGGATGTTGGAAATTGTCTGCAAGAAGCAAGAGGGTGATAAAAAATGAATGAGACTGACAAACTCCACTTTACTTGAGGAGCAGTATATTTGAGGCTGGCTATGATCAGAAGCCCTCTAATACCAACACTCATGGACCTATCTATGGTCAGTTTATAAGTCAGAGCCATTTGTTATTCTTCCGATCAAGCTGTGCAACAGAAGACAGCAAGTGGTTCCTGTGTTGTTTTCTGGGTAGAAAGAGGCTTCTTTTCTTTCCTGTCTTTCCCTTAGTCTGCACTTGTATTTGTTCTTAACTATGTCCTAGCATGGAACCATTTTAGATCTCAGATATCTTTAAAGCACTTTTTAGATTATTTCAGGAGTAAGGAAACTGATGGTCAGAGGTCAGCCTGATTGGTTTGAGTACTTCCTTCATATTACTATGAGCACCATGTTACAAAGGATAAGCAGATGAAAAATGCACCACAATCAAGAGAAAGAGAATTTTTATGAACCAGTTGATGTTGTTCACGAGAAAACAATGATCCTGTTTTCATTGTTCTTGTTGTTGTGACACCTGTTATAAGTTGCAGGACACTTAGAGAGTTCATTTAAAACACAGATAATAAGATATGTCAAGTTAGACCTCTTCAGGTCTACCTTCTGACCTGAAGTCACAATACCTACCACAGAGATAACTTTCTCAAGAAATGCTTTTTGCAAGAAAACTGTGAAACTTTCTGAGCTTCTACTTATTCATCAATGACATATTATATATGCAAATAGTCATAATAATGAGTAATGAATAAAAGTCTCATACATGATTGATATGGAGCTAGATATAGTCAGTTCTGAAAAGTTAGACAAAGTAAAAATATGATATATAATTAAATATATAAAGATATTAAAGATAATTTGGATATTATCAAACAATCTCGTTTAGTATATTTACCAGTAAATGAAGTGATGTTATTATATGTGTAATATTAAGCAAATGGACATTTGTCCTTCATTTTAGCCAAAATCTAGCACAGATGTGAAAGTTGGTTTTGAATTAAGTGTGTGTGTGTGTGTGTGTGTGTGTGTGTGTGTCCCTATTTAGAGACTTGCACTCATGGCCTGAGCAATTTTGTTTTTTTGCTCAAGGCTTGCATTGTACCATGTTAGCCACAGTTCTACTTCAGACTTTTCGTGGTTAACTGTAGACAAGGATCCTAAGGACTTTCTTGATCAGAATATCTTTGAACTGCCATGTTCACAGAATATCCTCCTGAGTAGCTAGGATTATAGGTATTAATTGCTGGCACCAGGCTCAGAACTTTTTTTTGAGACAGTTTGTCAGTTAATTGATAAGACTGACAGCAAACTTTCAACCTCAACTTTTCAAGTGGCTAGAATTCCAAGTAGCTTGGAATATAAGGTACCACACTTAGCTCATTTTTGCATGCAATTCAAGTCAGTACATATGTTTCTTCACTTAAGGGTACACCACCCCTATCTCCTATCTCTCATTGACACATCTCTCTTTTCTCATCCTGCCTCAATTGACAATAATAAGTCATTCTCTCCATGAATATAGATAACTTCATTTACTTGACTGTTGCTTTGATTTCTTTCACCAAAGCTTTGTAGTTTTCAGCATACACATCCTACACATATCTTTTGTAATTATTCTAAGTATCTCATAATTTTGATAGTATAAATGGTACTTTTAATTCAAATTTCTAATGTTTATTGAGAATGATTAGTTATTATCTGACCTTTCATCCTGGGAGTAAGGTAACTTACCTTCTTTGGAATTTTTTTGCACCGAGTCATGTCATATAAGCAGTCATAATTGATGTAGACCAGTAATTTTTTTAATGGATAGGAAGCCTAATACCTCTGTATTTCTAGCATGTGGGATGCTGAGGTGAAAGAATCACTCTTGTCAGGACATTAAGATCAGTTTGGGCAACATAGCACAAATGCAAAAAAGAAAAAACTAGAGCAAGAAACAAAACCCAAAATGGTATAAAGGACAGCAAATCACCAAAAGTAAAAGAATCCTATTATTGTAGCCATTCCTATTTCTCTAAATATTACACTCCAATTTAAAGATATTAATTGTACTAGCTAGATATTTTAATTAATATAGTAAAAACAGAAGCACCAAAAATTCTTTGAAAGATTTTGGAAGTTTTCATATTTATTCTGAAAACCTAGTTTCATATTCAATCATGAGAAAAATCATCTTCAACATAAGAAAAATATGACCACCCATAAAAAGTAATCACTATTAGAATTCTATTATGATTATCATGATCATCATTTTCTTTTTTTGCGGGGGGGGGGTCCGGTAGTGAGGCCTGAACTCTGGGCCTGGTAGCTGTCCCTCAGCTCTTCAGCTCAAGGCTAGTGCTCTACCACTTGAGCCATAGTGCCACTTCCGGCTTTTTTTCCTTTTGCTTATGTGGTGCTGAAGAATCAAACCCAAAGCCTCATGCATAGAAGGCGAGCGCTCTACCACTGAGCCACCTTCCCAGCCCCATGATCATCATTTTCTTTACTGGCAATGCAACAAAGACCTTCTTTGTGTGCTATTGCTACTGCGGCTTAAATTCTGGTACTGAATGTTATTTTTCAGATCTGTGTGTGTGTCTGTGTCTGTGTCTATTCAAAGCAACAGCTCTGCTAGTGGAGCCTCAGCTGTACTTCAGACCATTTGGGGTGGTTAATTGAAGATAATAGTTTCAAAGACACTTACTTTTTCAGTCTGGCTTAGAAGTGTGATCCACAGATCTCAGCCCTATAAGTAGCTAGGATCACAGACAGGAGCTACGATGCCAGGCAGAATTAAGCTTAGCCTTTTATATTTTATTTATGTAATGTGATACTGAAGGTGCCTTGCTAGTGCAGTAGGTAGCACATCAGGGTCATAATGTGCTACTGAGCTATAGTCCCATCCCCAAACAGCACTTTAAATATAGAAAACCAAAATGGAAGTCAATATTGTTTTAAATGATGTGTAAAGTATATGGAGTAAAGTAAAGATATGGAGATTAACTTTTGCTTTTTATTCTTTGAAAAGTCTTTCTCTTTGATTTTTGGATCTCAATGCACTGATTTTTAGTATGTTTTGTTTTAGCCAGAAAGTGATTATAACGATAAAATGCATTTTTTATTTGAACTACTACTGATGAAAGGTAGAGTATTTCATATATATTTATATTTATTGTATATTATACACATATATATACATATATATGTATATGTGTGTATATATATATATATATATATATATATGCCTGGCCATTATGACTCTTATCCTAGCTCCTCAGGTACCTGAGGTTTGAGGGCCATGGTTCCAAGCTGCTCCACCCCACAAAGCCTGTGAGACTCTTATTTCCTTTTAAGCAGGAAAACCAGGAAGTAGAGGTGTGGCTCAAGTTGTAGACCACTAGCTATGAGCTAAAAATCTTAGAGACAGCACCAAGGCTTGGAGCATAAACCTCGGTATTCACACACACACACACACACACACACACACACACACACACACCTCCATGAAATTTAAAAATCAGAATGAAAAGTAATGCTGAAATTTATGTTGCACAACCCTCTGTAAGAACCCTTCCTAGAAATATGTTATAAAGAGCCATTTCTACAATACATGTCTAAAATGTTCACATTGGAAACTGTCAAGGCAGGGGCAGCAGCTCACTTCTCTGATCCTAACTACTCGGGAAACAGTCCAGGAGGGTGGCTTGACAGCCTTCTAGGCAGGTTAGTGAAATTTCATCTCAATCACATAACCTCCTGTAGTGGATCGTGGCTGTGGTCACTGGTACAAGGGAGTCATAGGCAGAAGGATCACGGTTCAAGTTGGCCTGAAGTAGAACTCCAAATCCTGTCTGAGAAAATAACAAACAAAGAGGGCTGGGGCATGGCTGGCACCGGTGCTATGCCAGTGCTATGCCCTGAGTTCACAGGTTGAAAAAAGGCACTATCAAACATCATCTGTATTCACAGTCAACTGAACAAAACATCACAAGAATTACAAAACAAGAACCATCTAAAAGTGACTTCTCAAAAACTGCTTTTAATGATTCTCTGTTTTACCCTTAGTTTGCTTTGTGGTCCACTAATGTGTGCTTTGACTAAAACTAACTGCATTTTGCCTTGCTGTGATTAGATTGTACTCTGTTTCTGTGTGTTGATTTTAAAAGGTTTGATCTTCTTCAGCATTCCGTTCTAAACCACCTCTCTTTTCTTAAGAATGCCCCCATGCTCTTCATAGCTGTGGTTCTATCCTATTTCTCATCCTCCTCTTTATCTTTTCTTAACCGCTCCGGTTCCTGGTGAACTTTTCCTTCCAGACCATCTGTCTGGTGCTAGTGTGATCATCCCTCTTCTCTTCCTGTTTTTCTCTGTACCTCATTTGAGCAGAAATATTGAAACACTTAAATGTTATTCTTTGAATACACTAAATTTGAAATACTAAAGTGGAACTAGCTTTTGAAGAACTCTGTTACAGATAAAGTATCTTGGATAGAGTTTTCACCTCATGCAGGTTTCCTTCTCCATTAATTGGTTTAAAATTGACACTCTGAAGAAGTCTATGGCTTCAATCTCCATCCATGATTACCCTTTAAGTAAGCATAGTGTTAAAAATCAAAGTGATCCCAGATTGGCCAATTTATTATCTTCATGTAGCAGACAAAGCAACAGATTTTGTCAGAGAGTAAATTGTGTGGCTAAGTCACATACCAAGAAAACCCTTTTTCTTCTTACCTGACATGTTGAGAGAAGGGGTAATATCAACTGGAGATACAAAGGATGAGGAATGACACTTGAGGATGTGTGGATAGCTGAAGCTAAAGAGCACGAGTGTGTCCAGTAAGGAGCTCACTGGATACTGCTCACTGGGCACTGGGCACTTGCGATGATGCAAATATTTGAAGGATGCCATGGTAACCCCAGGATTCTACTAGGTGGTGATAGGTTTGGTGGGAGAATGATGTCATTAGTTAGGCAGTTGAAAGGTCTGAAGTAGCCAATCACAAGATCAGAATCTGAACCAGAAGAGGGGATTGGGTAGAGAATGGCAGGAGAGCTTTAATAACTCCTGACTGCTTGGTCTTGGATGACCTGAAGTCTACAAATCAGACATACTATCCCCCTTTCCTCTAGGCTCTTAAATGGAAGACATCATCTCAGTGTTCATCACCAATGTTCATTATTAAAGCTATTTATAATTTGTCCATTATATTTCACCTCATAAAATATTATAATTACTTTGTACATATAGTTAATGTGCTTGACAAAGAAAGATCCTTGAGGTTGAAGCCTTACACTTGTTCTAAGATCATTTTGTTGACCCAATTAGTGAACTTACTAGAACTTTCCAATAGCCAAAGAAGAATGAAAGAGCTCTTTTGTTACCTGTTTGAAGAGCAGGGAAAAGTACATTGTTGGCACCTTGTAAGGAATTTTGTAATCCAAGGCACTTGCCTTCTAGTGTCTTCTCCTTGACATCTTTGTTCTGGGTTGTTCTAGGCCAGATTGGACTTGCATCTCTCCTCTGTTCTTCTTTTTTCTTGGATAAATCTTGATTTTGCATTCTTTTATGTGTTATTTTATTATAGGTCCTGTGATTTGAACTCAGGGCAAGGACTTAGTCCCAGAACTTTTACTTTTTAAATCAAAGCTAGCACTTGAGCCATAGCTGCATATCTGACTTCTTGGTCATTAATTGGATATAAGAGTCTCATAGACTTTCCTACCTAGACTGGCTTAGAACCGTGATCCTCTCATCTCAGCCTCTTGAGTAGCTGTTATAACAGGCCTGAGCCCTGGTCACACTAGAGTTTGCATTCTTATACCATGGATGTTTACTCCTAGAAGCAGAGATCTTTTCTTTGCCCTGATACTTTGAAATGTGGTGTGTGCACGTTAGAAGCAAACATTAAAGATGAAAGATACAGTTGAATGTGGAGTTTACTATTTCTGACTTTAAACAATTATTTTGCTTATAATTTGCTGCCCCTGGCTCTTTGGGCCATGTAGTCACACACTATCTTGTTCATCCTTATGCCAGAAGCATGGAGGATTTTTTCTTTCTCTTCTATAAGTGAAATGAGGGTGGCAGTTACTGTAGCTTCCCTCTCCTTATCAACCACCACTATAGAATTCTGGGGCTCTTGTATTCTCTGTCTGTCACACTTGGAGGCAATGTCAGGCAAAATGGAGAGCAAATAGAGAAAATACACAATGATAGAGCACAGGAAAATATGTAGATTTGAGAAATGAGATTCATGTGGTCAGGTTTTCGGTTTGGTTTGGTTTCATGAAATAAGCATCATTTAGCCACATTTTGTATTTAAGGATCATACAATTGAATATTTTTGTTCATAAACTTCTCAGAACTTTATACAATGATGAGAAAAGGCTTTAAAAGTAAAATATTAATAGTTTTCTTTTGTTTTGTATTGAATATCTCATTTATGCCACTGATTTAATATGTTCAGAGACTTTCAAAAGTTCTGAATTATCTACTCATTTTCTTTGTTTGTTTCTTTTTTTAAGGAATCCAACACTATTAAGATGTGTTGCTTTTGTTTGTTGGTTTCTATATTGAAGCTTGAACTCAGTGTTTGACTACAACCTTTAGGTTTTGCTTACGACTGGTGCTCTACAAATGGAGCCACAGCTGTATTTCCACTTTTTTATGGTGATTAACTTTGATAAGCTTGTCTTAGACTTTTCTGATGGGCTGCCTTTAAGCTGTGATCCTCTAACTAGAGGTGCTGTTCCATACCATAGGCACCTGGCAAACTCTTTATCTGAGACTTGAACTCAGATCCGCTCACTGTTGTTTGATTTTCCTGCTCAAGCCTGGTTTCTACAATATAAGCCACAGCTCCACCTTCAACTGCATGTCTTTTCATGGCAATTGTTTAGTTTAAAGCAGAGTGAACAAACTTTTTTATTATGTTTAAATGGTTGTAGAAAGGCGTTGTCATTCAACATGGCAATTGATGAACGTAGCGCCTCTTAATCAATGCCATGCCTTTCCACCTTCTCCACCCTTCCCAACCCTTCCCTCATTTGCTTAAATTTTTGGTTTGTAGTGGGTTTTTTGCAATTTTAAATATGAATACAGTGCATATTGATCTTTATCATCCCTTAACATATTCACCCCCTCGATCCGCCCCTTCCCTTATTTATCTCAGTTCTGTGGTATGTACAATGCATTCTTGCCTTCATTCTACTGCTTTCCCCTGCTCATTACTCTATTCTTCTCCCCTCTAGCAAATACCCATTTCTTGCTACTTACTTTGTTGGGCTTTGACTTAGTCTTTCTGAAGAATTATACTATTTGCACTCTTTAAATAGTCTGTTATACTTCATTTAATTCACTTATAACTGCATGCCACCCATTGTGTTTACTTATAGATTTACAAGCACATTCTAGATCCTATTAATGAGGGAGGTCATACAACCTTTATTTCTCTGAACCTAGCTTAGTTGACTTAATGTAATTTTTCCCAAGTCTTTCTACTTTCTTACAAATTTTACAATATCATTTTTTCTAATGGATGAGTGGAATTCCATTGTGTATATATACCACATTTTCTTGATCCATGCATCCATTCAGGGGCATATGGGATGGTGCCATACTTTGGCTGTGGTTAAGAATGCTGCCGTGAACATGGTTGTGCTGGAAGCTGTAGTGTATCCATGCTTGTCCTCTATTGGATAAATGCTCAGGAGTGGAATTGCTGGGTCATAGGGTAGTTCTGTGCTTAGCTTTCCTCCATACTGCTTTCCAACTGATCGGACAAACTTACATTTCCACCAACTGTATAAGAGAATTTGCTTTGGCCACATCTTCTCCAGCATGTGTTATTGTTAGATTTCTTGATAATGGCTATTCTACCTGGGGTAAGGTGGAATCTCAATGTTATTTTGATTTGCATTTCCTTTAAGGCCAATTTTACCTCTTCTGAGAAGTCAGTGTTTAGGGCTTTAGCCTAAACACTTTTTTTGAGTTGTTGTTTCTCTGAGGGTTTATTTTTTGAGAGTTTAATTTTGTAACCTCAAAGTATATTATGGATATTAGACCCTTGTCTGATGTATCCCTGGTAAACACCTTCTCCCATTTTGTGATTTTTTTTCTGTTTATATTGTTAGCTATTTCCTTTGCTGTGCAGAAACTTTTAAGTTTGATGTAATCCCATATATCAGTTATTTCTTTGATTTGTTGTGCTTCTAGATTTTTACTTTAAAAGTTTTGACTTATGCCCAGGGTCCCTAGTGTTCTCCTACCTTTTCCTATAAAAGTTTCATGGTTTCCAGTATTTTTTAATATATATTTTATTGTAAAGATTCTGTACAGAGGGGTTACTGTTACATGAGTAACGTAATGGGTATATTTCTTATCGAGCATTGTTACAGCTCCATTGTTTTTGTCCTACCATCCCTTCCCACCCTACCTCCCTAATTCCTCCCTCCCCACCCCAAAGTTGTAAAGTTCATTTTCAACATAGTGTCTTGTATATCTCATTGTTACAATGAGTTAACCTGTATCCTTTTTTTATTGTGAAAATACTGTACAGAGGAATTACAATTACATGAGCAAGATAATGAGTACATTTCTTATCAAGCATTGTAGCCTCCTCCTTTGTTTCCCCTTCCCATCCCATCCTCCCCCCCACTCT